GCCTGGCGACCTTATCCACTGGTGCATTACCTCATACCAGCACTAAAAGAATCAGGTACTAACAAAAATAAATAGGTAGTGAAGTTCATGTATCTATTTACTATAGAAACTGCTTTTGTATGTATGCCATTGCCAGCAAACTAAACCAGCAACTGTCACCATGGAAATGTACCTACTACAATTCACCAAGGAAAGGCCAACATAGTTCCATGTAGAAGCTCATAGCTCACACACATAGCACAAAGCTCGATTTGGTGTTTAATGCATCTCCTCGCCGGCAGAACTGATTCCACTGTTTCGCCAGGTTTGCGTCCGAAGGAAACGAAAAAAAACTTATATAGCACGCTTTCCTTTTGTTTTCACTATTACATTTTGCCACTGCACGCTTCATTTTGCTTTTTAATGTCTCAATAATTGTTTAAAACCACGCAGAAATATTATGCTCACATTTAACAATTGCACCAAGATGACGTCACGCACACAGCTCATTCTGTCAAAATCACAAACAGCGGATTAGCGGTACCGCGATTGGCGCAATCTCTATTTCTCTCAATCGTGATATGTATGTACATATCAATGCTTCATTTCAAAGNATGTATGTATGTATGTATGTATTTATAGCGCGTCTACCATTCAATTGCTTTGCTCACTGCTGGCTAGTTGTGAGGAATATGCATACGTACGTATGTATGTATGTACATATCAATGCTTCATTTCAAACAAGCAAGTGTCGTTGAATGTTTTTGAACTACAGTATCATCACTTCGGCAACACGTCAAACGCGCCTTCAGCAACAAACCAAAGGCGGCGGTTTGACTTCTGCAACAAATCAAGTTAGCTAACTGCGGCCTTCGCCAATCTTTCAAATGAGCTTTCATGCTTTCGGCCACCGTCCAAATGCAGTATCGTGCTTTCGGCAGTCGATCAAATACGGCGGCTGCTGGTTTCGTGCACGATCGTTCGGAGTACAGGTTTGCCGAAGTCAATATCAGTATGAGCTGTTATAAGTATCGTTCACTTGTGGTGGCTGTATTTGCAAGACAGCACGGTTTGCGCTGGTGTTCGTTCATCCCCCGTTTTTAACGTGAGTAGGCTTAAAGTCACAATAACAGCACCCTTTGCCAATCTCTGCTACATATATGAACGCACGCTGTTTGGTCCACCAATACATACGCGTACGAAGAACAGCGGAAATTTTTTCTACCCAACATTCGCGAACGCGAACTGGTTTTATGCTTCTCGTTCGCGAAGGATAATCAATCAATACAGAATATTTGATACGTTCACCTTCGCGTATAAAATCATAAATGTATGTTCGCGAACGTTCATATATGAATATTTCCGAACCCTGATTTCCATCAGTTTGTATGTATAGTGGCACTGCTTTGTGTCTTTAGTACATATTTTGCAAAAATATTCAAAAATTTTACATTGCATTCCTTATTTTAACTTTTTTTTGTGTTTTCCTACGTCAGTACAAGTAATCCGTTAGGCTCAAACACTTTCGAATCACTTTTTCAATTTTCGAGTAACTTTGGCAATAAAATTCGGATTATCATATCCGTAAACCGAATATGGATATCCGGAAATGGAATATTTCAATTCGATTTCGGAATAGGTAGTATGGAAAATCCTTTTTCGGAAGAAAATTCTTTCGAATCGAATTGCATAGTAACCGCCCTGATTTGTGTATGTGTTTCGCCTCACGGAATCTACATTGGATAACCACGGTTCCGTTTTGCTGGAGAATGGCCTACTTCTCGTATCGAATACTAACCTATTCCACATTAGTTATCGAAGGTGAGACTGGAAAAAAAGTTTTGTTTTCCAATTATTTTCGAATTGATAACCACGCCCAATGTTTATTGGGGTGTTTTTGCTTTTGTACTCCTGCTATCACCTTATATTAATTCGCCTTGATCTTGGCAAAGGAAGTTTTTTATTGGTAACAGGCTAACCTAAAATTCGCGGTTTGCGTTTTGGTAGGCACGCCATCGAATTAGTTTATTTGCGTCACCCGAAATTGGCTTGCATTGGGCACAAGTTGATTCGTTAAAAATGCTTGTTTTTTTAGTTCTTTAACTTTGATAGAGTAGAGATCATAACAAATTTCGGTACCTTATTAAGGGCCCTATTTTCTGGCTATAAAATAAATTTAAAAAGGTTGCAAGAAATTATTAATAAAATAAATGATGATTACACTGGTTTTTTGTACACAAGATTTTTTGTATGAAATACGAGCAGTAAAGCGTGTTACTCGGGTGTACGTGGCGTATGAGTAACACGCTTTACTGCTCGTATTTCATACAAAAAATCTTTGCGCATTTTCATTTGACCACTCATATTTCGTATTTATCCATCGATTTTTTTCATCAATAGCTTGATTTTTTTTTCGTAACAGAACAGGCTTTAGTAATTTTTTTCAATAAAAAATAAAAAAAGCTGGAATGATTAATTAATTTGTCTGAAACCTTAAATCCTATCTGAAAGTGATGTATACACGGTTTATGGAGAATTTCATTGGCTTTCATTTTCCGTACTTTATATTAAGATTTTTAAATGGGTTAGTAAGATATACGTGACTAAAAGGAACAAGTTTTTGCTTTAAGCTGAATAACGGTAAATTGCAAATATCTCGAAAACGTATCCATAGAAAAAAAATTAACTCGATTTTCGGAATCACTGGGAAATTCTACATAGGAATTGGATAGTAACGTCTGGAGAACAAAAACCAAATTAAAATTTGTGATCCAGTGTTATTTAAAACAAGTAATTTTTAGCAAAAAAAAAAACCGACTTCAACTCTCATATAAAAAAAAAATATATATATACAGTATCGGTCATATCTATAGCACGCCATTTCAAAGTGATATTGTGTGCCACTTATGTTTATTTATTAATTTTTAAGAATTTTCAATTAAAATATAGTTCATTATCAGACAAACCCGATACAAACCCAAACTTAATAATATGTAGAACGCTACAAAAAAGTGCAACAAATTTTCACATAAATTTCAAACTTTTTTCTCGGAAGTGTTAGAATTTTTTTGAGTACACAGTTTTTTAGCCCTTTCAATTTTAGTCTGATAATGTGCAAGTTTCAAGTGGCTAAAAGTTACCGTTGATTTTTTAGAATTTTTTTGTAGTTTTCTACAAATTGTTACACTTGGGTTTATATAGGGTTTGTCTGAGAATGAACTGTATTTTATTTGAAAATTTTTAAAAATAAATAAATAAACATAAGTGGCACACAATATCACTTTGAAATGGCGTGCTATAGATATGACCGATACTGTATATCTCATGATCCGCTGATCGGATCTTAACCAGATTAGTATGGGACCACCTCTGAGACACTACCTTTCCTTTGCAAAAAGAAATCGAAATCGGTTGACGTGGTCCAAAGTTATGTGGTAACATACATAAAAAAAAAAAAAAAAAATATTCCGACGAACTGATAACTTTCTCCTTTTTTGGAAGTCGGTTAACAATATTTTTAATAGCCATGAGGTGGCAAGAAACGTGCTATTTCCTATAAAGAAATTCTCAAAAGCGGCTCAAGAAGCTAGAAATAAGGATTTCAGAAGGTATCGGCTGGACAATACTAGAAAGTGTTCGCGTATACCATTTTTACACACGCTGCAGTGTCTGTGGAGTGCAATAAGGCCCGCGGAAATAACGCCCATGGGCTTTATTTCCTAAAAAAAAGAAACAAAGCCCGCGGGGTTAATTGCCTTTTACCCGTGGGCATTATTTCCCTTTCGATATGGCAATAAAGCCCGCGGGCTTTATTTCCTAAAAAATGAAATAAAGCCCGCGGGCGTTATTTCATCTTTATTGTGGCTCTTGTCCATGTATGTACATCCAAAACCCCCTGTTCTAAATAAAAACTAACTAATATGATAACATTGAACTAAATATTTGTTTTCCTTTATATGTCACACAAACCACTCCAACACGGCTGATTTATGTTATTCTGCCCTTTATTCATTTTTGTTGTGTTAAAACAACCCGTGCGTCATCCACATCACCACAGTATTTCTGCGGCGTGGGTACACAGACAACCCTAACTCCTCATCGTACATTCATGTAGAGCATTTAAATAATGTAAGTATATAAACAAATAAGTTTACCGGCGTAATGGCGAGGGAGTGGAGCGAGCATGTTTGCGCTCAACCGCGGTCGTCCAAGTTTGCGCACCACCACTGAAAAATCTAAGACGCAGAGAACAAATATGCGCATCGCATTGAAGGCTAAAAAAACAGTAACAATTTACCTTTAATTTCCAATAATTCGGTTATCAGTTATTGTCAAAAATATTGTTCGATTTTATGCGTATACTGCAGAAGGGAATTTAAAGCAGAACTACACTGTATGCAAAAATAGAGAGCAATTCGTTTAAAATACGTTGCATTTTATGCAAATGTATGCCTGTATACATAATTGGAATGTTTCAGTGAAATAAAGCCAGAGAAAATACTACACACGGGCGTTAGTTCCTTTTCTTTGGGGAATACAGCCCGCGGCCCTTATTGCTCTTTCACAAAGGAAATAAAGCCTGCGGGTTGTATTGCCTTTTATTGGTGGGCGCTGTTTCCCTTTCGAAATGGAAATAAAGCCCATGGGCTTATATTATTTGTATACATAAAGTCGTTTAAAGTACAAAACCGCGTATCAATAATATGCAAAACCGCGTATCAAAATAATGCAAAACCGCGTATGTGAGGTTGCATAAATTATTTTCTAGAGAGTAAAAACACGCATATATCAAAATGGTTATTTTTTTATAAAGCAATCGCATTTCTGGCTAGTATATTTCAGGACGAATGGATAAGGATTTAGCCAAGAGCTTGTGTGAGCAAATCCAATTTTTGGCAGCAAATGCCAGTTACGCGGTTTTGCAGAATGACGATATGCGGTTTTTACTTTAAACGACGATAAGTATAATTAGAATTACACACAAATTTTATGTTGTATTTTTTATGTGCTTTTACTTATAGGAACCTTCGCATATTTATCTTATTGAAGAAGGACTAGCGCTCTGGGTTGCCGTTGTGGAAAATTCAACTGTTATGTCACCGCAGCTCCTGGCGTTATGCAAAAATCTCTTGCCAATTATTGAAATGTCATCAGAAAATTTACGAATAGTATTGATTCTTATACAAGCATATATTCTTTTGGACTCACACACATTTCTTGAACGCTATGGCATGGAGTTTGTTCAATTTTGTACACGCATGTTTGACGATTTACGACCGGAAGGTATAGCTTTGATGCTGAAGGTGTTTGAAACATGTCTGAAATCAGATGCGAACTACGGATTGGAATTAGTGCGGCCTGCCTTGCCTTATATTTTCAAGCAGGTTTACCTGGACAAAGAGTTTCCTATGCTTATGTCAATGTATTTAATGATGGTTGCAAGGGTACTACTTATCAGCCAATCTGTATTTACCGCAGTGTTGCAGGAACTACAACTGCCGAATGCATTAGAAACTATACTTGACGTGTGGATACGCAAGATGCCACTAGTGACAGAAGTCGAAAAGCGAAAGCTCTTTGCACTTGCGTTTGCATCGATATTCACCAATGACCAAATTTTACTAGAACGTTTTCCAGGAATTATGCAAAATATTGGTGATACTCTTATGGATGTAATGCGGGAGGAAGACGACGAATTAGATACCATAGATAGTATCGATACGGTGAATATTCCACCCCGTCCAGCTGGTGAGAAGCCAATGAAGTTCTGCGACTCTTTGGTTTTCCTCGATGAACATGATTTGGATACAAGCAGTTATTGTATAATGGACGATTTTGACTACAAGACTTACCACTACGATCGCTGCAGACAATTGTCCCTTAAAGATCCAGTGCATAAGATTGTGCTTACCGAATACTTGGAATGGCAACTGAATACGTTGCGGACGCAAATGGGGGAGGACGCGTATCAACAGTTGATGCAGTGCGTTGATCCGGGAGTATTGGAGAAGGTTGGGAAGTTTGTTAAACTGAATTTAAATTTTCAGCCTAACTGAAACAGATTATTAAATAACTATGAACCTCTTGCAATATTACCTACACGAATAGCCTTTAACCCAAAGCATAACGAAGCGAGTCACTAATTTTCTACTTCAATTATAAAACTGGGAAACAGAAATAATTTCTGTATCTATTACCCGATATAAAATTAAATTACTGGAAATATTTTTTGTTTGTTTTTACAATAAAATTTCCTTTAAGTATTCAAAAAAAAACGTACCCCCCTATTATGGATTCGTACGATTCACGATAAACGCTTGCATTCTGTTATTCTCTATTACGCAATGAGGTTGTCGTATGAAATCCGATTGTAAGCGTAGCTGATTTGTGCTGGTTCACAATAAAAAGTGATCAAAACCCACAGCCAGTCACAATACATCTGTCGGGCATATGAACACGATTATACGAGAACTGTTTCCATACGATACGCTTGCAAGCGTTTATCGTCTATCATATGAAAATTCATAATAGGGGGGAAATTAAACAGAAAAAAGAATGCGAAGCAATTTGCAACTGATTGTTTTGCTTAATGAAGCAAGAAACTAAATAAAATTAAAAAATTAAACACAGAACTCTTTGAATCATTTTGTCATCGTTCATCTTCGTAAGTAACGTAACTCTTCTTACTGTTTATAATCAGGATGTAGTTGTGTTTGACGGCCGCTGTGGATAAAGGGGTTAGAAGTAGCATACTGAGTTGGATCCCTGGTCCGAGTAACGTGTAAATGGAAAATGTTTTTTTTTTCAACAGCGGTCGCCCCTCGCTTCCCATAAAATCATTTACCTTTCGGAGTCGGCGTAAAACTGTAGACCGCTCCATTTCTGTAAAAACATCAGGACGCCAGGAGGAGAAGCTCGGCCAAAAGAAATTGGCAAAAGTCTAGGCGCCAATTATTATTAGTTGTCTAAAAATTTCAGAGGGTAAGATACAATTTTCTTAAGGTGCTCGTAAACGATGAGAGTAAATCCCTTGAGAGTTCCGCCATATTGGTCTGAGAATTCTCATGGGTGTTTATATGTACACGAATTCTCATTAGTATTTGATTCTTATGAGAGTTTTTTGGTAAGAAAAATCTCACTCGCTCTCATGTCTGTTTACACGAGGAGCTCTCACGCGGTTTGAGAGTAACGTATGTATGTAGTAATATATGAACTTATGCAAGAATTATAGAATACAAGATTGCAGTGAAAAAAACAAAACAAAAGGAGAAAAAGGCGAGAATAAGGGGAAATAGAATAGCTGATTTTGTCGAATTCGCCAAGAATAAAGTAACTGTACTGTTGTTTTCTCTACATCTACATTATGTAATATTTTGTCATTCAGGTATCGTGAAGAAACATTCTTCTTGTTGAATAGACGCAAAAAATTACTTTTGGGTTTCCTGTCCCTATATGAAGATAGAAAACAACAAGAGGAAGAAAGTTATAATTTATTTTACGTCGCTAAATGGGGTCAAGCGTGCTCAAAATTCAAATTTTTAAGAATCTTTTTTTTTTGTTTTTGTTATGTTTTTTGGCTTTATAACAATTATATTCAACAATTTATGTTGAGCTTGGGGCCGTTTTTCAAATGAAAATTTATTGTGGAAAAGCAACAATAATTTGAAAAAATGGTAGAAGTGATAGCTGTTTCGGAAATCACCACATTCCTCATCAGACTTCGTTCAGTAGGCTTCGAACCGACGATCCCACTGACTCAGCCAGTTGCCTATGCACCGTGCTAAGTACGCCTTGTAAATTATCGTTTGCTTTTTTCCACTATTTTCATTTTTGTTATGCCAACACAATCAAGCGCAGCTATTCCGCTGCAATTCACTTGATCATGTGGTTGTTGGTATTGTTGGTTTTT